TACCCCATCTTATGCACAATTCTTATCGCTCTTTTTTGTAATATATACAATGGTTGAATGCTAATAATAGTGAGGTCTAGACCTTTGTAAAGTGTCCTGAGATGACCTTTGTTGTGATTTGGCGCTATACAAATAAAATTGAACTGAATTGAACATTATTAAAGATTGTCTAAAGGATGTTGTTTTGTACTACTAAACTCTTAACTTTCATTATGCTATGGAGGTGATAAAGATATGGCATCTTTAGAAATATGACTCAAAGCCACATCCTGAAAACTACACAAACACTTCCTTCTTCCTTTAATACAAGGAAGCATTTAAAGACTGACATTTTCAGTGAAGTGTGCCTCTGCTCTTCAGTAGCTCAGCTGGACTGTGATCTCACCATGTTCATCAATTGTAAACTGGTAATACTGATACTTGTGATAAGTCTTGATGGCCAAGGTAAGTTGTTATGGTATGTAAGAATATTATACTATATACTTAAGCTACATTATATGAGGATCTAGATTCCACCCTCAGGTTTCAGATGAATAAGTACAGTGAAACTAATTCAGTTTAACATGGCTGTCCTACAGTAAATGTTGTTGTCATGAAGGTGTTCAGTTTATGTTCAAACTGTGATATCATTTTGGCTTTATACACATACATTTATACATATTGCACATACATTTATATTTTTTGTTTTTCCCAGCTCATACAGCAAAAATTATCGGAGGCCATGAGGCTGTGCCACATAGCAGGACATACATGGCGCTTTTGGAGTGCCACACAAGTAATGGTGAAAAAAAGTACTGCGGTGGCTTCCTTCTGAATGAGGACTTCGTGATCACTGCAGCCCACTGTCAAGCCAAGTCAGTCTATTACACTTCAGGTTTACCAACTGTGAATTCTTGAGCCTTTGAGAAGATTTCTTATCCCAACAACATAGATGAATACACTGCATGAGGGCTTCATGAGCTGTGACAAAAATGTGAATACAATGCTTTGACCAAAAATCTAATCTATTTACTCCCAGATAACTTTTTATCTTTATTTTATCATTTCAGGTCCTATGTCTTACTAGGACTTCACAATTTTCATAACAAAGCCGAAGTACAGGGTAAATATGTTGAGAGATCATTTCCACATAAAGACTTCAACGGAACTTGCAAAAATGACATAATGCTTCTTAAGGTAAAATAAATGAGAACTGTATTTAAAATGCTTGTACTTCACAGTAGAATTTGATTTAGCCTTTTTTCCATCATTATCAACTTGTGTTTCTCAATATTTTATTAGCAATGAATGAAACAAAGCAGTATTGTAATTACACTGTACATATTGATGTGCAAAAATATATTTTTATCTGTCCCGGTTCCTCAAGTTGAGCTCCAAGGCACATTTCAACAAAAACGTGAGACCCATTGCTCTAGGAGACCACAGTGGTTTGCCAAAAGCATGTACCGTCTCTGGCTGGGGCAGGGATAATACTTCAGACTTGAACTCTGTCGTGCTCATGGAAGTCAATGTAAAGCTCATTGATCATAAGCGGTGTGATGAGGACAATCTCTACTGCTCTGAGGGAGAAACTGGACCAGCTGAGGTACTATACAAACAATTATGTAATATAACAGACAAACATATCTGGTCAATAATTGTAATTCATTCACTTCTGCTGATGCAATGTTGAAGCACTCATTACATACTGTGGATGTATTTCCAGGGAGACTCTGGCGGTCCATTGGTCTGTGAAGATGGAAAGGCATATGGGGTGTTTGCTGGTTTCTTTAAAACAAAATCAGATCTAAAAACATATGTCTATACTAAGATACCTGACATTAAAGAATGGATTGAATCTACCATGAAAATTGTATGAAAACACTCTAAGGCATTTGAACATTTGGATTTATACTATCTGTAAAACATTGCAGAGCTCAAAAGCTGATAAATGAGATGCTAATATCACATGTTAATGTGACCACTAGACCAAAGTCTGGGCTTGCTTGCTTTAAAAGTAATTCATCTAAATATTCCTAACTTTGATGCTATCAAATGTTTGTTTGGAAAGTTGAATGAAAACACTGAAACTATATGAATTTGACTTGGCACAGTAGCACATCTTGCAGATGTGACTTTTCCAAGCTAGAGATAAACAAATCATTCATGATACACAAATTAAGTATGGCATAAAGTCATAAATTAATGTATGTCATCCTGGTCTTAAATATATTATATGCATTAAACGTTACTGCTTTGTGCACATTCTTTTGACTTGATCAAATGAGAACACAGACTCCTCTGTTTCTTTTGTACAATCTTATGAAACTCTGTCTCTCTCTCTCCATGATATCTCAGTGCCTCTATACACTTCCCTTTTCAGGTATGAAAAAAAAGACAACATTCCCTCCTTGTGATCAAAGTGTATTGATGCAACAGCAAGAAATTCACTATTCACTTGCTGAATTCAGAACATTCTTAACAATATACGATAGAAAGGCAAGCGCACATGTTTGATTCTTGCAGATTCAGTCTTCAATCTTAGAAGCAAAATATAAAATATTTACTTAATTTATTTTAGCTCAGCTATAATCAATTACCATGTGACATCCTAATATTTTCTCACTGTCATTTTTGGGTATCAATATAACTTAGGGGGGACAAGAATGATACTGTTTATGTCTTGATGGATATTTCTGGAGGCATTTTGTCAGAATACTAATGCTGAGAAAAATGTAAATCTAATAGTAAGTGGTACAGTATTTGTCATCTGCATGACTGTTATATCAAAATTACACTAAAAGAAAGAAAGAAATGTGACAAGGTCTACTGTCAACACTGAGTGGTGGGAAAGGAGCTGTTGCCATTAAACATAGGTCTTGTCACAACACATACTGAGAAAGAAATAAAATAAGGTACTTAGACTATAGAAAGATGAGAGTTTTTGCCAAAAGACCCTACTTGTGTGAAGTGTTAATTACATTACCCTCAAATTATATCTGTGTATCCATTGTTTATTGGTATATTTAGAGTTGTTATTAGAGACAGCAACTCTTAGCAGTTCACTGTGCTTTATAATCATGATATGGTCATAGTTTTTGTAAGGCACAGTGGTCTCACAGGTGAGGCACTTAAATCTCTCACTTAAACATATTTAATCCTTTGTTTGCTCATTTGTTTATGCTTTAAGAAGAATTGTGCCTTGGGCATGTTCATTCACCCATGTGGAAAAAATCTTTTGAACCCAGTGTTCATATTTCTAAATATTGTCCCCGATGGTTAGAGCCATCGGTGGAGAGTTATGTTTAAGGACAATATTAGCATGTCTCTTACACTATCACCTGTCATTTTAGATTTCTATCATTATATGAAAATTAATATAGCAAAATCCTAAGTCTGCTTTTTGCTATAATAGGTAGATGGACCTATTTAAGGAGACACAGAACACTTTACATACAAATAAAAGCAGGGGTGAGTGTTTATAGTTTTCAAAGACAATGGTATCAAGGTGTGATAAGGACTTTTTGTATTTCAGCACAGCTGCATATTAATGGTGGAAATAACACCTTACTTTAGTTACATCACTGTGATACTCACCATAGTTGTTATGCAATAGCTAGCTGGCTGAAAAATGGATCTCCATCTCATCCTGCACTCCTGAATGTAGGACATACAAGAAACATTAGGCAGTGAAAACAGCTTTATTGAAATGCAAGGGTTTCTGAATAAGACTATGATTTATGCCAAGCATAAAAGGTTTTTTTAAGCAAGTAATATTAGGCAAATATAAACATGTTAAGCTGCTGCATGCTGTATATACATTTACATACAGGGATTAACTACACTGCAAAAAAAGGTCCCACATAAATGACACCCACAGCTTCATATGGCCATGGTAAATTTGGCTTGTGTGTTAATTAGAAATCTTAACTCTAACATCATCACCAGTTGTAGGAGAATGTTGACTTACTATGAATAAATGAAGTTGCTGTCTTTGTTATGGTTGGGTGTCCCACACCAGGTAGGGATGAGAGAGTGAGAGAAGAGGACTCAAGGCGCAAACACAGGTGCTAGTGAATGAGAGTCTTTATTACTGTATATACACAAATGGAAAGGAATAAAGTTAAGTGGAATAATACATGAACCAAAACCAGGTTTAGCAGTGGAGGTTGAGGAGACTGGGATGAGCAGGTGATTAGACAAGAGAACTGCAGGGACCAGGAGCATCAGAGGACCAGGCTGGGCAGGTGACCGTTGAGAATGGCAGAGGCTGCGTCCGAAACCGCCTACTACCATACTGTATAGTAGGCGAAAAGCAGTAGGCGAGGCGAGTAGTATGTCCGGATTCGTAGTATTCCAAAAACAGTAGGCGAAAAGTACCCGGATGACCTACTGCTTCCGGCTGGATTTTGCAGTGTGCATACGATGGACACTTCACTATCCCATGATGCCCCGGGAGAGGAGTTATCCAAC